TAGTTAAAAATAACAAACAGCAAATCCATGTACTAAAATGAGCAGAGAAAAAAAAACAAGCGCATTGCTGTTTTGCTGCAAGAGTCTTTGGGAACTTGAGGGAGCAGGAGAATAAAAGGCAGGTGTTGCATCTTTTGCATGGAAAGTGTTTGTGTGGGAATGTGAGGGAGTATTAGGTTGATAGAGATGTGGACCAGGATGTTCCTAGACAATGTTGAAAGGGATTCGAGGATAGGTGGCAGCTTCAGAGGATGTGTTTGGTAACACAGAAATGTGGAGGATGATCCATTGACCCGAAGGGTGCCAGAATTTGAAGTCAAGGAAACCCCAGGTGATTTTCTTCACTCACACCCCATTTCACACCTCCATCTGCTAATAATTAGAATCTATATTTATATACTATTCAAAAACTTGCCTAATGAAATTTGATTTTTGCTAATTGACAATTGACTTCTATCATCAGGCTGGACTGTAAGTTTTGGCAAATTAAAATTGCCAAAAAGACCAACATGTAATTGTTAGTGTCACAATATGAATTATAGTGTTATGTTTTTCTCAAGTACCAATTCCCTAGGTGGCCAATTAGCTCAGTTGCCTAGGTAGATAACCTGTAGGTCAAAGTAACGTCAACAACAGAGGGTTCAGTCTTTATTTTGGCTGAGATTATTACCTGCCACCTCAATCCACCTTTAGTAACATAAAGTAATTCTCTTGTGGTGCTCATGATAAGGTCACAAGATGTAGGAGCAGAAGTAGTCTCTTCAGCTCATTGAGTCTTCATCATTCAATGAGCTGATGGCTGATCAGATGATCTTCAACATCATTTTCCTGCCTTATCTCAGTCTTGATGAGTTGAACATGTTCTCCTGATGGGTTTGTTATTGCAGAGGGATAATCAATATATTCAAACTCAAAATTTGTAAAGACATTTTTAAATCAACTCAGTAGAGTTGATTTAAAAATCAACTCAGTACACAATGAAAAGAGGCTCTCCAGCTGATCATATCCAAGCATGTTATTAAACGCCTGTCTACTCTGATTTTCCAGCACTTGGCCCATACCTTTTACGCTATGGTCCTTCAAGTGTTCACCTGGATAACTTTTAAGTGTTATGTCATTCCTTTCAGGAAGTGAGTTTCAGATAACCACCACCTTCTGGGTGAAATAATTCTTCCTTAACTCCCCTCTAAATTTCCCATTCTATGGCCCGCTGGTTGTTAGCACTTGTACTAAGTGGAAAGGTTCTTCCTATCTATTCACCTCATAATTTTATAAACCTCAAATCAGGTCCGAGCTCAGCCTTCTTTGTCATGAGGAAAACATCCCCAGTCTATCTCGTCTTTTTCCATAGCTGAAAGATTTCAGCCTAGGCAAAATCCTGGTGAACCTCCTCTGTGCCATCTTGAGTGCAATCACATCCTTTCTATAGTGCAGCAACCAGGACTGCACATAGTATTCCAGCAGTGGCTTAACTAAATCTTATAAAGTTCATTATAACCTCATCGTTTTTGTATTCAGTGGTTTGACTGAAAAAGGCAAGTATCCTATTTGCCTCCTTTAACCAACTTATCCACACGTCCACCTTCAGAAAAGGGTCTCGGCCCGAAACGTCAGCTTTCCTGCTCCTCTGATGCTGCTTGGCCTGCTGTGTTGATCCAGCTCTACACCTTGTTATCTCAGATTCTCCAGCATCTGCAGTTCCTACTATCTCTATCAACATGTCCTGTTGCTTTAAGGATCTATCAACATACACAGAGGTCCCTCTGAAGGTCTGTATTTCCAGGGGACACATCATTCATCATCGACTCCCTTGTCTGGTTAGTCCCACCAGAATGCATCATCTCTCCTTTTCAAGATTAAATTCCAATTATCGCTGTTCAGCCCATCTGGCCAACCCATCTATTATCATCCTCTGTTCTACAGTGTTTCTCCTCGCCATTTACACCACCAATTTTTGTGTTATCAATGAATTTATTGAGCAAGCCTCTTACACATGTGTAGATCACTAATGTGCACTACAAGCAGCAAGAGACCCAGCACCTATGATATGCCACGAGACACAGGCTTCCACTTGCAAAAACAACCTTCAATCACCACCCTCTGCCTCCTACCACTAAACTAATTTTTTGCATCCCATTTGCCAAATTGCTTTGGATACCATGGAGTCTTATCTTCTTGACCAGTCTCATTCAAAACGTTTAAGTCAGTGCATCACCTGCACTATCCTCATCCACATGCTGAGTCACCTCCTCAAAAAACTCAATCTAACCTGTCAGACATAATCTACCCCTGACAAAACAGTGTTAATTATCATTGATTAATCCTTACTTCTCCAATTGGAGATTAATTCTGTCCCTCGGAGGTTTTTCCAAAAAAATGTCCCTCACTCGTCTATAGTTTTAATCCCTACCACCCTTGAATAATGGTACTACATTAAGTCTCCTCTCGTCCTTGTTTCAGCATCCAGAGAAGATTGTAAAATTAATCTTGGCACGCCTGCAATCTTGCCTCTTAAACAGCCTGAGGTACATCGGGCTTGACAATTTATTCAATTTCTAAGCCCACTAAGCCCTCTAATACTACTCCCCCCTCAATTGCAATTTATTCAGATATATCACAGTCCTGATTTCTATACCTACACCATGTTTCTCTATAGTGAATACAGATGCAAAGTACCCATGTATAACCTGACTGCCATCTTCTGGCTCCACAAAGTTTGCACTTTGGTCCTTAAGAGCCCTGCTCTTTGCCTGGTTATCCTCTTGCCCTAAGTATATTTGCCTTTGGACTTTATTTTACCCACGAGTGTTTCTTCACGTGCCCTCTTCGCTTTCCTAATTTTTCTTTTAAGTACTTCTTTCACTCTCAATATACCTCTTGGGCTTCAGTTGTTTTGAGGCCTCTGTATATACAATAAGCTAGCTTTCCTTTCCTTATCCAATCTTGTATAACCATCAACATCCAGGGTTCTGTGAACTCGTTTCTCCTATCCTTGATCTTCATGTTGAACTGCATTTTCACTATTTCCTCTTTGAAGAACTCCCATTGCTAAGGTAAAGATTTTCGTCCAAGTTTCTGCTCCGAGTCCACTTTGGTCAGGACCTGTTTTATCATACTAAAATCGACCTTTCCCCTATACAGAACCTTTACTTTAGGTTTGTTAGAATACTTTTAATTAGAATAAAATATCAATAGGTTTAATGCTTTTTATCCAATTGTCAATGAAGGCTGTGAAAAGTAACAGTCTAACACAGTCCTTGTGGAAGTCCATGATTGTATGTTATTAATTCTTTATACAACTAAAATCTACCATTTAATTCTATAAGGTTCAGTGGCAACACTTAACTGCCTTGTGTGAAGTATTTAATAATGTCTGTGTGTAATTGATGCTACATTAGTAAATCTAATAAATTGCTCTGAGATAGAACCATGTTGGTAAAATACTACCTTTTCTAGAAGCCTTGTTGATATTTGCTGGTAAACTTTTTCTCTGGATATTTTTAATCAACATGTCCATGGAGTCTTTGATTGTTTCCAGGGACCCACATGCTGCCAATATTTATAAAGGGCATAAAGTCAAAACTTGAGTCATTACAGATTCATTAGCTTCATTGATTGGAAATTAGCAGGCATCTTTTTCTTAAATTCATTCATGGGATGTGGAAGTCACTGGCTGGGTCAATACCAATTTCTAGTTGCCCTTGAGAAGGTTGTGGTGAACTGCCTTCGAATTGCTGCAGTCCATGCACTACAGCCAGACCCACGATGCCATTTAGTGAGGGAGCCCCAGGATTTGGACCCAGCAACACGAAAAAGAACTGCGACATGTTTCCAAGTCAGGGTGTGAGTAGCTCACAGGGAACATTCAGATGCTCCCACGTATCTGCAGCCCTTTTCCTCCAAAATGGATGTGGTTTGGAAGGCGTTTTTTAAGGAGCCTTGGTGAATTTCGACAGCGCATCTTGCAGGTTGTGCACGTTGTTGATATTAAGCACTGGTAGTGGAGGTGCTCAGTGTCAATATTTGCATGTTACTGTTCGGTGAATATTGTTAAATCCAGCAGTCTGTTTTTTTAAAAAATCTTTGAAGTTGATCATCAAATTATTAACTTGTCTGCACCTAAATTTTAATTACTTTTAAAAAAATAGGCGTTAATACTGAAATTTGTAGTGCATTTATTTTCCTTGAAATTGGCAGAGTTTTGAAAAAGTTGGGTCAGAAGGGGAGATGGTATCTTAATGGTAATGTCACTGAATTAGTAATCCAGAGGCCCAGTTAATGGTTTGAGAAAACAGGTTGAAGAAAGTTGATGCAATTTAAATTTAATTAGTTAATTCCAGATTTTAATAATGTCCTTTAGCGAAGATCAGCCATCCTTACCTGGTTTGGCCTGTGTGAATTACAATCCACAATAATATGGTGGTAAACTCTTGCTGCCACTTATGTGAACCCAAATGCATTTAACGAATTGAAGAGGGAAAATAGACTGTTTTGCTTAGAGTTTTAGTCAGTTGTTTAACATAAACCATTACTTGATAGAGTGCTATTATAGAATAACATCAGTATCAACATTGTGTATGAAAAGTGAATTCTTAACAATCTGAGGAGCCTCTTCTGTTAATATGCACAGTTGTTATTTTTGCATAATTTGTGTTTTTCTTGTCAAGAATTAACTTGTAAAGACAAGTAAAATCATAATGTAATAAGAAATAGGAGGGCGACTGGCCATTTGGCCCCATCATTTATTCAGTAAGATTATCGCTGATGTGATTGTAGCCTTCTGCAGTTTATTGCCAGTCCCTGAATAACCCTTTACTTTCTTGCAAATATGGACTCTGGAAACAATTGAATAACAGTGGTGCTGTTCAAAACAGTTGGTTTATTTGAAATTAACTTTGCCTTTTTAAAAATAAAATATGTCCATGATTTAAAATTAATTTGAATCTGTATTCCTAGTTTTTAAAATAACGTGTCTAATTGCAACGTTATTTTTTCCACAGGCTATGCCTGTCGCCATTTCGCAGTTTCTTCAATTATGATGGGTATGTATTTTCAACAAGAGAATCATGAAGGAATTGTACGCAACTTGCCTTTGCTTTTCTAATGTTCAAACTTGACTATTTGCAACCTAAAATGTTGCCTACTATAAATAGCCAGTCTAAGTAATTTTTTCATATTATATCAATGTAAAATATTCGTGAATGTGAGGGGAAAATGCTGCACTAAAATCTACAAAACTGAATTCCCAATTAAAATGCTTAAAAAATTGTGCTGAGCAGAAGTTATTTTTAACCATTATTAGATCACAGTCTGTTGATGATAATCGGTTATCAGATTGAAATATGAATTGGACCAATTTCTCACAGACAGTTAAATGGGTAATTTGCAGAAGCAAAAAAGGTTTGGCTAATGCTATGTGAAGGAATAATAAGTAAAAAAAAAAAACTTGTGTTTGTACAGTGCCTTTCCCAACCACAAGACATTCCAAAACGCTTCATGGTCAACTAAAAATAAAGTCCAGTGAACTATTCCCTGGAGTTTTTGTTTTAATAGAATAAAGCAGTTTACTGTATCAGTATGAAATATAAATCTTGTCCTTTTATAGATGCAATGCAGTCTTATTATAGATGCTTCACTTCAAAAGTGCTACAAATATAATATGTGCACTGTATTGAAACGACTCAGCCATAACTAAAGAACTAAAAGACCAAGCTGAGACAGTCCTATTTTAGTTTCTTTTACTTGTACCAGAAGTCCATTTGAAAAATCATGTTAATAGTTCTGTTATTTTCGGTTATATTGTAATGACTTGTATTTTGCGATGGTTGATTCCTCCAGCACATCATCTTCACGTAACAGGCATTTTATTGTGATTGGAAATGTCTTACTTAATTCTGACATTGCAAATTTTCATAAATTCAAAGGAAATTTCTGAGAATACTGAGAATTTTAACTTGCATTGTCCGGAAACCAATGATTCCAATTTGTATATATTACGGGCTGGATTGTAATTTAACAATCTACAACCTAATCTCAATCAGATTGAAGATAATCATGATTGTGGTAAATTCCTAATCGGCAGAACAGTGTGGTCTGGTAGAAGTTGGGACAATGGCTGTTTTTCTGTTTGAAAATCCAGGAAGAAAAGATTGAATGTATCCAAAAATGAGTAGCCCTAACAAATTTGCCATAGTGATTGAAAATTATGTTCCATAATTTGATTGGGACTGCAGCTGCCAAAAATCCCTTTTGATGTTAAGGACTCTTAATTGATTGTTGTGGTTCCAATTTTAATGCAATTTGTTCAGAAAAATCCACTCTTTGCTGCTCTTGACCTAGTCGTAAGAGCATCTACAATAGTCTGTACTGCTTGCTTCAGGAAAACATTTACACTCCCATCACGTTATGCTCTGGGCATTCCCTTTCGCTCAACAAACATGATAGCAATCCTGAGTATTCTTTGAATTGCAAACACGAAAGGTAGAGAGAGAATTGATTGTATTTTGCATTTTTAATAAAAAGTTCCTACTTTTTGTAAACTTTCTACATTTCTTATAGAGCGGACTCATGTCAACTGTGAAATTAAAGGTGATGTTGCAGTTGTGCGATTTAATACTCCAGATTCTAAGGTAATAGCTAATTTTATCTTTTTGGTATCATTTATTTGATGCTAATATTGAATGAGTAGAACAATCAGTGTGTCTGTTCTAATAAACAGTAAAGGAAATTTGCATTTTATTTAGCCAATTGCATGTTGCTGACTCACAAAACATATTTCAATGATATACATCATCATGCTGATTATTGATTCTTAATTCAAAAAGGCAATTCCTTTAAAGTTCAGTAATATTTCAGGTCATGTAAGAATTACAACCCCAACATTAAACTAGCATTTGATCGAATGTTACATCAAGGGCCGTGTCAAAATTTGAAGTCTGGAGAATCGAGGCGGAGGAAAAGTCCCCCACTGGATACAGTCATACCAAACATGAAGGAAGATTGTTGTGCTTGTTGGAGACCAACCATTTCAGCCACAGGAGTTCTTTAGGATAATTTCCTTGGCTCAGCTATCTTCAGGTCAATCATCTTATATCCAAAATAACGTAAGATGTGGAGTGTTCTCTGATTATTGCACGTTCACAATTCTTGAATATTCAAGTAGTCTCTGTCCTTCGCAGCCACACTCGAACAACATCGAGACGAGGGCTAATAATAGAAAGTAACGTTTTGTACCAACCAAGTGGTAGGCAATAATCATCTCCAGTGGAGAGATTCTGGTTTCTCTTCAACATTCCATTGGTGAATTCCCCCCCTCCATCATCAATAGCCTCAGAGTTATCATTGACTGGAAACTGAATCAGACCAGTCACCTAAATACTGCGGCTACAAGACGTTTCACACTTGCTCATTCAAAATCTTACAATGTGATCCCCAACAGTTTTGGGTGGGTGCCTGAGCCATTCCGTGTAGCAGCTCATACTGCCTTCTTGAGGGCATTTAGGGCCATAGAGTCACACAGCACTGAAACAGATCATTCAGTCCAATTCATCCACGCTGACTAGATATCTCAATCTGACCTACTCCCATTTTCCAGCATTTGGCCACATCCCTCTAAACCCTTCCTAATCATATACCGATCTAGAGGCCTTTCAAATGCTGTAATTGTACTCTGCCACTTGCTCGGATAGCTCGTTCCCTACACACGCCACCCACTGTGTGAAAATATTACCCTTCAGGTCCTTTTTAAATATTTTTTCTCTCACCTTAAACCTATGCCCTCTAGTTTTGGACTTCCCCACTCCAGGGAAAAAGACCTGAGCTATTTACCTTATCTATGCTCCTCATGATTTTATAAACTTCTATAAAGTCACCCCTCAGTCTCCAATGCTGTAGGGGAAAAAAGCCCCAGCTTACTCTTCTCCCAAGAACTCAAACCTTCCAGTCCCGGCAACATCCTTGTAAATCTTTCTTGCACCCTCTCAAGTTTAACAACATCCTTCCCAAAGAAGGATGACCAGAATTGTACACGGTATTCTAAAAGTGGACTCACCAATGACCTGCACAGCTGCAAAATGACATTCTAACTCCTATACTCACTGTTCTGACCAATGAAGGTAAGCGTGCCAAATGCCATCTTCACCACCCTATCCACTTGTGATTCCACTTTCAAGGAACTGTGCACCTGCACTTGTAGGTCTCATTGTTTGGCAACACTCCCCATGGCCCTACCATTAACTGTAAAAGTCCTATCCTGGTTTCTCTTAGCCTAATGCAACACCTCTCTGTTATCTAAATTTAAATATCATCGATCACTACTCTGCTTATTGGCCCAGCTGATCAAGGTCCCATTGCATTCTGAGATAACCTTCTTCTCTACCCACTACACCTCCAATTTTGGTGTCATCTGCAAGCTGAGCAACCATTCCACTTCTATCCGTATCCAAATCATTTACATAAATGACGAAAAGCAGTGGACCCAGTATTGATCCTTGGGGTACACAGCTGGTCACAGGCCTCCAGTCCAAAAACCAACCCTCTATCACCATCTTCTGTCTCCTACCTTCAAGACAGTTTGTATCGAGTTGGCTAGCTCCCCTGGATTCCATATGATTATTACATTACTAGCCAGTCTATCTTGCGCAGCCTTGTCAAACGCTTCATTGAAGTCCATATTGACAACACCTACTGCTCTGTCTTCCTCAATCTTCTTTGTCATCCCTTCAAAAAGCTCAATCAAGTTAGTGAGATACAATTTCCCACCACAAAGTCATGTTGACTATTAATAATCAGTCTTGCCTTTCCAAATGCTGTAAATCCTATCTCTCGGAATGTCCTCTAACAACTTACCCACCATTGACTTAAGACTCACCAGTCTATAGTTCCCAAGATTTTTTTTACAGCCTTTCTTAAATAATGGCACCACGTTAGCCAACCTCCAGTCTTCCAACACCTCATCCGCGGCTGTCAGTGATAAAACTATCTCAGCAAGGGGCCCAGCAATCTGTTCCCTAGCTCCCCACAATGTTCTGGGAAATACCTGATCAGATCCCGGGGATTTATCTACCTTTGTGCATTTGAAGACCTCCAGCACCTCTTCTATAATATAAATTACTTTCAACACATCACTGTTTATTTCCCCAAGTTTCCTAGGTTCCATGGCCTTCTCCACAGTAAATGCTGACGCTAAATATTGATTTAGTATCTCACTCATATCCTGTGGTTGCACACATTGGGGCCCTATTCTCTCCCTAGTTACTCTTTTGTCCTTAATGTACTCTTAGAATCTCTTTGGATTGTCCTTAATCCTTAATTCACTGAAGCTATCACATGCACTGTTAGGCAAGAACTGGACATCATAAAATGGGAACAGATTGTCAGGGAAAAGCACCATAGAAATGTGGAGATTGTTTAAGGGATGCATACTGCGTGTGCTTGAAATGTTTGTCCCTAGCAGGCAGGGAAGATGCGGTCGAGTGAGGGAGCCTTGGTTCTCGAGAGGTCAAACGACTAGTTAAGAGGAAAAAGGATGCTTATATAAGGTTTAGGAAACAAGGATCGGAAAAGGCTCTAGAGGGATACAAGTTAGCCAGGAAGGAGCTGAAGAAAGGGCTTAGGAGAGCTATAAAGGGGCATGAGAAAACCTTGGCAGATAGGACCAAGGAAAACCCCAAGGATTTTTACATGTACGTGAGGAATAAGTGAATGACCAGAGAAAGGGTAGGGCCGATCAAGGATTGTAAAGCAAATTTGTGTACGGAGCCTAAAGAGATAGGAGAGGTCCTTAATGAATACTTTTCTTCAGTATTCACAACTGAGAGGTACCTAGTTGTAGGGGAGGATAGTGTGAAACAGGTTGGTAGGCTAGAGGAAGTGGATGTTAGTAAGGAAGATGTACTAGAATTTTGAGGAACTTGAAGATAGATAAGTCCCTTGGGCCTGATGGGATTTATCCAAGGATTCTGTGGGAAGCGAGGGAAGAGATCGCAGGGCCTTTGGCAATGATTTTTGGTCCTCACTGTCCTCGGGTATAGTGCCGGAAGATTGGAGAGTGGCAAACGTCATTCCCTTGTTCAAAAAAGGGAATAGGGAAAATCCCAGAAATTACAGGCCAGTTAATCTTACATCAGTGGTGGGCAAATTATTGGAAAGGGCTCTGAGAGATAGGATTTATGATAACTTGGATAGGCACAGTTTGATTCGTGATAGTCAGCATGGATTTGTGAGGGGTCCATCATGCCTCACAAACCTTATTGAATTCTTTGAAGAGGTGACCAAACACGTGGATGAAGGTAGAGCAGTGGATGTGGTATACATGGATTTAAGTAAGGCGTTTGATAAGGATCCCCATAGTAGGCTCATGCAGAAAGTAAGGAGGGATGGGATAGGGGGAAATGTGGCAGACTGGATTCAGAATTGGCTGACCCTTAGAAGACAAAGGGTGGTAGTGGATGGAAAATATTCAACATGATGCTCAATTACGAGTGGTGTACAACAAGGATCTGTTCTGGGTCCTCTTCTATTTGTGATGTTTGTAAATGATTTGGATGAAGGAGTGGAAGGGTGGGTTAGTAAGTTCGCGGACGATACGAAGGTGGGTCAAGTTGTGGATAGTGTGGAGGTCTGTTCTAGGTTACAAAGGGACATTGATAGGATGCAGAGCTGGGCTGAGAAGTGGCGGATGGAGTATAACCCTGAAAAGTGTGAGGTGATTCATTTTGGAAGGACAAACTTGAAAGCAGAATACAGGGCTAACAGAAAGATTCTTGGCAGTGTGGAGGAGCAGAGGCATCTCGGGGTTCATGTCCACAGTTCCTTAAAAGCTGCCACCCAGGTGGATAGAGTTGTTAAGAAGGCATTTGATGTGTTAGCTTTCGTTAATAGAGGGATTGAGTTCAAGAGCCGTGAGGTTATGCTCCATCTATACGAAACCCTGGTTCGGCCACACCTGGAGTATTGTGTCCAGTTCTGGTCGCCTCATTACAGGAAAGCTGTGGAATTGTTGGAAAAGGTGCAGAGGAGATTTACCAGGATGTTGCCTGGAATGGAGGGAAGGTCTTAAGAGGAATGGTTAAGAGAGCTAGGGCTTTTCTCTTTAGAACGACGAAGGATGAGAGGTGACTTGATAGAGGTGTACAAAATGATCAGAAGTATAGATAGAGTGGACAGCCAGAGACTTTTTCCTCAGGTGGAGGTTGCTATTACAAGGGGGCATAGTTTTAAAGTGAGTGGAGGTAGATATAAGGGAGACGTCAGAGGTGGGTTCTTTACTCGAAGAGTGGTAGGGACGTGGAATACGTTGCCGGAGAGGGTAGTGGAATCGGCCTCATTAGGGGCATTTAATCGGCTATTAGATAGGTATATGGATGATAGTACAAGGTAGAGGTGGAGGTTAGATAGATCTCAGGTGTAAGGTAAAAGTTCAGCACAACATCGTGGGCCGACGGGCCTGTACTGTGCTGTACTGTTCTATCTTCTATGTTCTAAGTGCCGTCTTTGTCCTCCTGATTTCCCTCTTAAGTATACTCCTACTGCCCTTACACTTCTCAAGCCATTCACTTGATCCCAGCTGCCTATACTTGACATATGTCTCCTCTTTCTTGACCGGAGCCTAAATTTCTCCAGTAATGCAGCATTCCCTACACCTACTATAAAGTGTGTAGTAACTGCTGGCCTTACCAGTGATTGACTCTCTCCATTGATCGCTTGCTCGCTCTCTCTCCTATTCCATGATTTTTTTTTAAATGATCGGGGTTTTGAAACAAAAAAAATGTCATTTTTCTTCTTTAAGTCTTTCTTCTGGAGGGGCTCCAGTGTCCTCTTGAGGTCATCGCTGTTTACTCTTTACTTTTCTCGTTTTTGGATTGGAACCGTGAGCTGAAGTAGAGAGTTGAACTTTGAACACCAGCTTACTTGTAAAATAAACAAACTGATGTTCTCATGTGGGAACTGGTCTGGAAAGATAATTGTAGTTTAATTATTTTTCTAAGAACACTGCAGACGTTTTGGCACCAGGATGTGTTATGCGCAAGGACTGGCAACTGATTGGATGTTGCATTGGTCAATCAAAGGGAAGGCTCGTGCTGCCAGCCAGCCACAGAGAATGTGGAAAAAAGAAACTGAAGCCATAGATTGACCAAAAACAAAAAAATGCTTGAAATCACAGCAGGTCAGGCAGCATCAACGGAGAGAGAGCAAGCTAGTTGACTCTTCTTCAGAGCTGTGATGAAGATCATAGCCATAGATTGGACTGATTTTGACTGGACTTTTGGGCAGAAGGCTGTATGCTTAGAAGCTGTTGGACTGGAAAGCTATGTTCTTGACCTTTTACTCTCTGTAGATTATATCCAGTTAAAGAATTGTTGAATGTTCTGATAAATGAATCCTAATTTATAAGAAATAAGTGAATATTCCTCGGAGCCCTGTTGGAAGCTGTTTGCATTGACCGGTGGCTTTAGAATTCAAGCAACATACAATCCCATATAAAAACCGAAAGAACTGCGGATGCTGTAAATCGGGAACAAAAACAAAATTGCTGGAAAAGCTCAGCAGGTCTGGCAGCATCTGTGAAGGAGAAAACAGAGTTAACATTTCGGGTCCAGTGACCCTTCCTCAGAACAAACCCATATGCCTATATACAACACATCATTCAAGGATTCTGCAAAGAACTGGTACTCATTGTCAAAACAATGAACAAATTACAGCTATTTTACTTTCTTTGTAGTTTATCCTTTTACTGTGTCTGTCTGTCTGTCTGCGTGTGCCACTGTGAGTGTTATGATCAAAGAAATTTGTGTCTTAAAACAGGGCAAGTTAAGGGGAAATTTGTAGAGGTTTTCAAATCACAAAGGGGTTTGTTAGATAACTGAATAAAAATGGTTTCTTGTTAGAGAATTATTGGTAACCCGAGGATGCAAGTTTAAGGTAATTGGCAAGGTAACTAGAGGCAGCATGAAGAAAAGTAAGAGTTATGCACTGGAGTATGATCTCGAATCTGATGGAAGTAGATTCAATAGTAAATTTTAACTATTTGTGAAAATAGTACAAGACTATAGGATAAAAGCAATGCATTGTGTTGGAACTATTTGAATAACTTTGTTAATGAGCTTTTACAGGCCCAACAGGCAAAATAACCTGCATGTGCCCCATACTTGTATGAAATTGCCTTTTATTGTATATTGAACCATCTATGACAGATCTCACTTGACCATATCAAGTTGTATCGTGCTTTGCTTTGCTGCCCTGTCTCAAAGCAGCTGGTATCTTGCTCCAGAATCATCCTGGAAAACAAAGTTAACTATGTCTACCAAATTCTGCTCAACTCTTATCCAAACACTCACTGACCAAATAGGACTTCAGTTTCTAGTGGTCCACTCCTTCCTGGTCCTGCTCTTTCCCCAGTTCTATAACTTCCTCCAGTCCTGAAGCCTTGCATTCCTCCAGATCTGGTCTCGTATTCTACTCCCACTGTCACTGTTTTCAATCCAGTATTGATAACCGTGCCTCAGCCATTTCAGGGTCAAGGTCTGAAATTGTCTCCCTATAATTGACCACCTCCTTGTACTTTAATGATGAGTTTAAAGCTCACCTTTTTAACAAGGCTTTTGATTTTCCTTCTGAATATTTCTTTTGACTTGGTGTCTTTTTTTTGTCTGATCTTACCCCGTGAACCATGTTGGGAAGTTTTTCAATGTTAAAATGCTATAGAAATGCAATTTATTTTTTTTCTGGTAAGTTGTAAAACATATTTACACATTCTAAAATTATTTTCAAAAGTGCTGGTAAAAGCCTGTGTAATACTTGATATGTTTCCACATTGTATGATTCCTACATTGAAGTTCAAAGGAAAAGTCTGCTGATTACATGCATCTTGACTCTCAAATGTGTTATTGGCAAAAGACCAACTAATATTATTACCTGTGATAAATGTCCCTCCTTTAAGATGGATGCGATACCTTATTCTTTCACTGCCTCAAACAAGAACTTTGTATTGGAAATTAAGGATTGTGCTTTTTAGAAAAATAATGTAATTTGGTTTCTTTTTGATGCTGTATAGGTTAACACCCTATCTAAAAAGCTACAATCAGAGTTTACTGAGGTGATGAATGAAGTTTGGGCAAATGATGGTGTTCGAAGTGCTGTTCTTATTTCATCAAAACCAAGCTGTTTCATTGCTGGTGCTGACATCAAGTAGGTTGCATTTTGAAATGTAGTTTCAGAATTCAGATTCAGTGTAAAATGTGCTTTGTGATGAGTATTCTTCGTGTATGATTCTCCTTATTTTAAGGGAGATGCAGTAGCAGAAGTGTTCAGGTTCACAAATCTTTATTTGCCATGAAGGTTTTTATTTCTTAGGGTCTTCCCTAATTGTCCCTTGATCTGAGTAGCTTGTTCAGACCACTTTAGAGGGCAGTTAAGAGTCAATGATATTGCTGGAGGACTGAAAGACCATGACTGGTCTGATTACTCCTTATTCTTGCCTACCCCGGGTAAAATAATTCCCAGAATCTAACTAGTGCAGCTGCCTTGCAGAGCCAACAAACCAGGCTGAAGTAAATTATGATCATGCTGTGATCCTACCTCTTTGGGGAAGGCTTGTGATTAAGCCCTTGGAGATTTTAAATTTGACTTTCAAGTTGACTCTTCCCACCACTTATTTCATCTCCAGGCTCATTGCACAAAGTTGTTCTTGGTAGATGATACAGTGATGTATGTTGATTTCCGGAGGCACTGATTTGAGCATCTGGCTAACAAATCATTTGTGCTTCCCTGTCATTGTAGGAGCTTCATTGATTCACAGACCACAAAGTTTGTCCTGTAGAAGATTGAATTTCACCAGCATGTGTCACTTTGTTGAAAATGTCTTACTTAATTGTTTTACCTTCTTTCATTGGGCAGTGATCAAGAGCTGCTTAACAGTTTCTAAAGTTCTTTTAACTCCTCATATGAAGATTACCAGTTGGGTTGTATCATTTATGTCTGTACTGTTATCGAATCTTAAACTTTAAAAGTGACATACGTGAAGTTTTGTGATCAGGACAATAAATGTTGGATGCTTGGTTCTCTACTCTCCTAGTGATTGTTTGTTTGATATCAAAAGCTAGTTTTCTGTACTATCATATTTTTACTAGAGCGTGCCACAGATATAAATGTGTCTGTCGCCAATTTCCCATCGGACAATGGCTTCCCTGTGTTTGCTGTTATTTCAGCAATCAGGAAACTGCTTTTGATCCTCAAAACTTTTTTGTTTGCAGCTTTGAAGAATGATTGTTGGCAAACAAGGTGCTGGTTCACTGAGTTCCTTCAATTCATTCTCACCTGACCTTTGAAGCTGTCAAAATTGTCAGCATAGTTTGTACAATAATGCCGTTTGATATAGTACTCCTTAAAGACTTCTTTCTCCTGACATATCAAATGTAATTGAGCCTCATTGTGCTCCATAGCAAAATAGTAATTGCTCCGAGAACCTTTGAAAACTGGGCTTTCATTGTAGCTGTCTCTCCAAATGAAGTCTGCATCCTCCAGTACCTTCGACTGCCATCACCCCCACCACGGACTTGTTCAGGCAGCACTAAGTACACGCCTGCATTCCGGGGTGGAGTATTGGACCTGAGCCTTGGAATCTGCTACCCTCCACCCTAGAATTTTGCCCCATTTGGACCTGATCTTGCACCCACTGTTGCTAACCCATTGCCTTGCCTCACCCCCATTTACTCATCACAAAACATCCAGTGCTATGAAAATTGAATATGGTCAGCATTTTCATTTTCATACCTTTTCACTGATTGAAGGTCTTGCAGCCAGGGACTCCTTCTCACCCATGTTTGCTGTTGACTGACTAGTAACCTGATCAGCAGTGAATGCTGGTGGGAGGAAATAAAAGATCTGATTAGCTGAGCAGCTTTGCAGCATTTGTCAAAGACAACCTTCTCTTTACGTACCCTTACATTTGGGACTTGGATAAGGGCCCATGTATGGGCCAGATCCACAGCTTGTTGGACAATGCTGGTTTAGAAGGTCATGGAAAATTTAACAAAACTATTCAAAATTATGGAACATTTTGAGAAAGAGGAATTATGCCCAACTTACAGAGAGGTCAATCGCTAGAGGATTTGGATTTTAGCAAAATAACCAAGGCAGTGAGGTGGTTGTCGTTGAGCAGTTCAATTTTGCAGCAAGTTACAAATGGAATGCACTGCTCAAAATGGTTGTACAAGCAGATTCAATGGTGACTCAAAAAGAATTTGATAGTCAATCATTTGTAGGGCTAAGGGAGAACAATTATGAGAGACTAAATGGATGGTTGTTTCAAAGAATAGTGTTGACAAAATAGGCCATCTACTGTGTAGTCAAATTTTATAATTTCGCATTGTTTTAAATGCAACTGCATTCAAAGTTTCACCATTTCTCTGGGATAGTAAGAACTGCCGATGCTGGAGTCAGAGATAACACAGTGTGGAGCTGGAGGAACGCAGCAGGCCAGGCAGCATCAGAGGAGCAGGAAAGTTGACGTTTTCGGTCAGGACCCTTCTTCAGAAATGGGAATTTTCTGAAGCAGGGTCCCGACCCGAAACGTCGGCTTTCCTACACCTCTGATGCTGCCTGGCCTGCTGTGTTCCTCCAGCTCCACCGTGTGTTATCTCTTCACCATTACTGTCTCTTTTTTTGATGTTTCTAACTTAATGAATTATTTCCTACCATGAACCCTGACTTACTTTCACTGGTGCTGACTTCCTTTCACTGGTGCTGACTTCAAAGAATTTGTGAAATTTACTTCGTCCTTTCTGATATAATTAACTTATAAGGCAGAGTTCAAAGGAAATCTGCTTGGCTTGTTGCATAATTTTTGGAACTGGAGAAAAATCAAAACATTTATCTCGACTGTCAGGGAGGGATCATGTACCTGGATTAAACAGTTATTCACATAGTCAAAGAGACGACTTAGCTTCTTATTTGATCAGAATAAAACTTTTATAATTTTGTAAATGTCCATAGGATTATTGTGCTCATGTTCACTGAGAGCAAATGAGTGAGTAAATAGTGCAAGTGATGAATGGTATACCGATCAAATGGCTACTTAGCAGGATACAGCAGTCTCCTTCATCAAATCTCTGCCACTGTAGTTGTTATTTATATTTTCATGACCAATATAAAGTGGCTACAGTATGTACTGCAGCAATTTGCCAAGCTTACTTTGTCAGAATCTCCCAGACCCAAGATCTGTATTATTGAGGAGAACTGGCAAAGTCCTCACTTTGCATTTCCCTTTCACGTCATACATTTTCTGAACTGTTCAGCCATTGCATCTGAATCAAATTTCTGGAATTTTATAACAATGTGGGATCCCATCATTCCAATGGCTACATTGGCTGCAGCATTGTCATATGCAATGAAAAAAGGCCATACTAGCTTTACAAATTGTCATCTATGAACTTTACTTTTATTTGCAGTATGATAGAGGAATGTAAATCTGTGGAAGAAGTGACACGTTTATCTCAGGAGGGGCAGAAAATGTTTCTGAAGATTGAAGAATCGACCAAACCTGTTGTAGCTGCTATCAATGGTTCCTGCCTTGGAGGTGGTCTTGAGGTATGAGACAAATTTCCACTTGAAATGTGTAACCTAACTAATTATAGAGAAATGTGTGGCAAGAGATTGAAGCTGAAAGCCATCATATCTCCAGTATTTTTATTTGTATTGTGTGTCTCTGAATCTTTAAATATCTCCTTTCATTATATCTGCTATATTTTAAGTTTGTCTTACCTAAAAGTTTGAACCCTTATATTGCGATTTTTCTGGATCAATTTCTTTTCATAATCTTGAAATAAAATAAATCATGGAGAGGACTTTTTTCTCAATGGAAACTGAGTTAGAAACAAACTTCCTGGACTTTTTCTCATGAATTCCTACTGGCTGAACTTATCATACTTTTTCCCTCAAAGGAATCCATGCATTTATCCTATTAATTTTAACACCCCATTTTCAAACTGGGATTCCTCAACGCTTTCCACCACAAGAATGTGTAATTTTTTAAAGAGGCTTTTAGATTGGTACTTCTTCTCTTCAAGTCATATTTACCTTCTGCATTTACACTACTGAAAATGTCTGACAAATAACTGCAGTCTGCACTGCAAGGAAGCATGTGCGATTTTTGTAGGGGAGGGGGGGGAAAATCCCCTGGTATGAGAATGGAAGAGAGCCCAGAAGCCTATGTATATGTGTGTGTTGTGAGGGGCAGGACCCTGAAAACCACCTTCCCCGTGTCTGTCTTTTTACACACACACCACGCCCTCCTGTTCTCACCTGGGTCCCAGTGTCGTTTCCCCAGCCCCCACCCCCCACACTCTTAGTTTGTGTCACCTCACCTAATAATTTGACCCTTAGAATCCATAATTTGGCATCTAGTCAAAAGTTTTATTTTCTGTGTGAGCACATTAATACATAACATATTAGGAATTTGAATATCAGATTTTTACACTGATGAGAGAATTGCTTTCATGGATAAGACACAATTTATCAGTGATGGCAGAAAGTTTTATTCTATATTCAAAAGATTGAAAAGCTTAATGTTAGAATTAATTGTGGAGACATGCAAAGAGGTAAGTTAGTCTTTGGTAGAGTTGGCCCCTATAAATTGAATTCTTATTCCTATTGAATAATCATTAACAGAATTGTGATTCCTTTGGTCTGTATAATTGACTTGGTGCAAACCTTTCACTGTAGAATGAAGTACATAATAAAATCAAAACAAATTGTGTAATTTAATCAAAAAAGTGTAATCATTTTCATACTGTCACAGAAGCTAAGTTGTTGCATGTGTGTTTAGGTTGCCATCGCCTGCCATTACAGGATAGCAACAAAGGACAGCAAGACAGTATTGGGCACTCCGGAAGTTATGCTTGGCTTACTGCCAGGAGCTGGTGGTACTCAGAGGCTACCAAAGATGGTAATTTATTTTTAATGTTTAAATTCAGTTTAATGCAAACTGCAATGACTGCATTGTTTTTAATTATCAAACTTAATCATTGCAAACATAATGGACCAGAGGGCCTTTGACTGAAATGCACAATATGATTTTTGTAACAACCTTCAAATGATGTTCTGGCAATACCCTAGAAAGTGTGTTGCTAACCAGGAGAAATATTCGTGTTAGATTGGTCTGAACATGAATTTCGAGGTTTGATCAATAAGTTGATTCTTGAGACTGTCTTGTTGTAGACTCTTTACAATATTGGCCACAGTACTTGCATGCATATCAAAAGTTAAGAAAGAGGTAGCTAAGGCATATATTTTATTTAGTGTGTAAAATTGTGTCAGAGGACAGATACATGGCTTCTGTTACTCCTGTATTTAATGAGGGATACAAAACAAGTCAAAATAACTGTAGATCAGTTTACTTGTTTGTGGTGGGAAAATGATGAAATCTTTACTCAAAGGTATAAATGAAAAAGACTACGAAACAGTAATACAAGAATGAAACTGCACATATTATAAAAAGAATACTTGTGTTTGACCAAATGTAGTGAATTCTTTAAAGAAGTAACAAAGGATAGATGTGGGTAATACAAGATATGCAATATATCAAGGTTTTTGAAAGGTCTTCGACAATTACTGCATGGTGAACAAGTGACTAATGACTACTGTGAAGTAATTAAATGGGGTTCAACTGGGCCACAAAACATTGGAAATTACTTTCCTGAGGGATTGATGTTGAACCATTGTTCATGATGTACTGGAATAACTTGAAGTTGGGAATCAGAAGTACAATTTCAAAATGTGTGAACAGTGTCAAATTTGGAGGTGTAGTTACTGCAAAGGAAAAATGTGACAAAGTGCAAGAAGATGTTAATAAGTTTGCCATTGTGCAAGTAGGTGAGTTTCAATATAGATACGTGAGAGGTGAGGCATTTTGCTAGCAAGAATAGGGTTGGCCACATACTGCTGAATATTGAGAGTGAATGGAGTAGAGGACCAAATGGATCTTTGTGCTCAAATACTTTTTAAAGTGGTGAAATAGATTCCTAAGGCCGTGAAGAGAAAGCAAGCAAGCACAAGGCTTCATTTCTCAAGCTATAAAATTTAAAAACAGTTCATAATGTAAGACAATCTCGAACAATTCCGGTAGGATTTATATTTTAAGCCAAGAGTTCTGTGTAGACTGGGGCACAGACAAACGTTTCTGCCGTCATCAGAAAGACATCAGGATGGTGTGTTGCTCCCTGTCTTGGAGAGGGTGCAGAATATCCTGAAAGTGGAGAATGACCAGCAGGAGGTCATTGTACACGTTGATACTGATGACATGGTTCGGGAACGGGATGAGATATTGCAGAAAGATACTAGGAAACTAAGCAGGAGGTTAAAAAGTAGAACCTCGAGGCAAGTAATATCTGGACTACTACTGGTGCCACGTGCTAGTGAGTGTAGGAATAGGAGGGTAGAACAGATGAATGCATGGCTGAGGAGCTGGTGCAGGGAGGCAAAGATACACGTTTTTTTGAACCATTGAGATCACTTAAAGGATAGAAATTTATTAGAGGGACAGGTTCCACCTGAATTGGAAAGGCATCAATATCCTTGCAGGGAGATATGCTAGTGCTGCTCGAGAGGCTTTAAACTGGTAAAGTGTGGTGGGAACCAAAGAGATAGTGAGAAAATGCTGAGGCTGGCACAGTACATAGGGGGAGCAAGTCAAACAGTCAATGTAGACAGGAGCTTAGCAGAGATTGAGGCAAGACTGATAAATTAAACTGTATTTACTTCAATACAGGAGGCCTGACAGGTAAGGCAGATGAACTTTGGGTATTGCTGAGAACATGGGACTGGGATAACACAGCTATTATAGAAACATGGCTCAGACGGACAGGACTGGCAGCTTAATGTTCTGGGGTGTAGATGCTGTAGGAAGGATAAAAAGGGAGACAAAAGAGTAGGGGGAGGTAAGATTTTGCTTAAAAAAAACTTACCTCGTGAGACATAGCCCTACTTGATTCGAACGGCGGGAGTGGTGAGAGCGTGAGCCAGGAAGTGAACTATTATATTCGGGCATTGTCTAAATCCGAAACACTACACGTGTAGTGTCTCCCACCCATCCTCCTCCTCTGACCAAAAAAAAAGACTGTGTGGAGGGTCGGTAAGGTAGGCTTTTTTTATTCTTTTGGCAATCTAGCATAGAGGGAATTTTCTTTCTTGTTCTTTTATTGGGCAGGAAGCTGTCAGAGGGAGGAAACTATCAACAAATTTAATTAACTCATTATAATAAATTATATAAATTAATAAATTAATTAACTAAGTAGAAATGGCTGGACAGGTGATGTGTTGTAGTTGTATGATGTGGGAGCTGGCTGATCCCATTGCGAACTGCAGTGACCATATCTGCAGCAAGTGTTGGTTGCTCAAGGAACTTCGGCTTAAGAGTTGATGAGCTGGAATCGGAGCTTCAAACGCTGCGGTACATCGGGAGGGGGAGAAGTACTTACATGACTTGTTTCAGGAGGCAGTCACACCTGGGAGATTAAGTAATTCAAATTTGGTCAGTGGCCAGGGACAGCAGGGTGTGACTGTAAGCAGTGGTAGAGGGATCCTGCAGTCAAGAACAGAGGAGCCTAAGCTCTTGACCTTGTCCAACACGTACGAGGTACTTGCTCCTTGTGTGGATGAGGAAAAGGGCTGCAGGGAGGATGAGCCAACTGACCACTGCACTGTGGTGCGGGAGGCCATTCAAGAAGGGGCAGCAAAAAGGCAGGTGGTAGTTGTAGGGGATTCTATAATTAGGGTGCTAGATAGTATCATTTGTAAGCAGGATCGAGAGTCTCGCATGGTGTGTTGCCTGCCCGGTGCCAGGGTAAGGGATATTTCTGACCGGCTTGAAAGGATATCGGAGCAGGAGGGGGAGGATCCAATTGTTGTGGTCCACGCCAGAACAAACAACATAGGCAAGACTAGGAAAGAGGACCTGTTCAGAGATTATCAGGAGTTAGGAACCAAATTAAAGAACAGGTCCTCAAGGGTTATAATCTCCGGATTACTGCTTGAGCCATGTGCGAAATTGGCATAGGGATGTGAGAATAAGGGAAGTAAACACATGGCTAAAAGAGTGGTGCGGGAAAGAGGGGCTCCTTTTCATGGTATCAGTATTGGAATAGGAGGGATCTGTACCGTTGGGACAGTCTCCACCTGAATCGAGCTGGGGTCATTGTTCAAGCAAAAAGGGTAAATAGGCTGGTCAACGGGACTTTAAACTAGAAAGTGGGAGGGGGAAGGGAATGGTGAAACTTGCCCTGGTGGGAAACAAAGCAGCAGGTTAACATCTGTAGTGGTAGGTTCAACTTAGTGGAAAAATATGAAAGAAATGACAGGGAAGGAGAATTCAGGAGAGGTTATTAAAGTCTCCAGCACAGACACAAATAGGACAGAGTGTTTGGAAAAGGCTAGCAATCAAACACTGGAAAAACGAATGAAAATGAGAAGAGGGAGAGTTAATACAGGACTGAAGATGTTATATCTGAATGCACACAGTATAAGGAATAAGGTAAATGAGCTTGTGGCACAGATCGAAGCTGGTAGGTATGACGTGGTAGGCATCACCGAGACATGGCTGCAAGGGGACCAGGATTGGGAACTGAATATCCAAGGGTATACATCCTATCGAAAAGATAGGCAGGTGGTCCGAGGGGGTGGGGTTGCCTTATTAGTGAGAAATGAAATTAAATCAGTACGAAGAAACGAAGTAGGGTCAGATGGTGTAGAATCTCTGTGGGTAGAATTGATGAACTGCAAAGGTAAAAAAACCATAGTTGGGGTTGTGTACAGGCTTCCAAACAGTAGTCGGGAGCTGGGGCGCAAGATACACCAGAAGATAGAAAAGCTGTGTAAGAAAGGCAAAGCACAGCGATCAGGGGGGATTTCAATATGCAGGTGAACTGGGAAAATTATGTTGATAGTGGATTGCAAGAAAAGGAGTTTGTGGAATGTCTACAAGAATGCTTTTTAGAGCAGCTGGTGGTGGAGCCCACTAGGGAACAGGCAATACTGGATTTTGTTGTGCAATGAGGCAGACTTGATAAGGGAGCTTAAGGTAAAGCAACCCTTAGGAAGCAGTGATCATAAGATGATAGAATTTACTCTGTAATTTGAGAGGGAGAAGATAGAATCAGAGGTAACGGTGTTACAGTTGAATAAAGGCGACTGCAGAGGTATGAGGGAGGAGCTGGGAGGATTGACTGGAAGAGGAGCCTAGCCGGAAAGACAGCGGAACGGCAACGGCAGGAGTTTCTGGGAGTAATTCAAGAGACACAGCAAAAATTCACCCCTAGGAAAAAGAAGCATGGTACAGAGAAGATGAGGCAACCATGGCTGACTACAGAAATCAGGGATAGCATAAAAGCAAAAGAGAAAGCATATAGTGTGGTGAAGGGCAGTGGGAAACCAGAGGACTGGGAAGCTTACAAAGACCAACAGAAGGCAACAAAAAAAGAAATAAGGAGGGAGAAGATTAAATATGAGGGTAGGCTAGCCACTAATATAGATGAAGACTGTAAGAGTTTCTTTAGGTATATATAGGGGAAAAGAGAAGCAAAAGTGGACATTGAACCACTGGAAAATGACAGTGGAGAGATAGTAGTGGGGAACAAGGAAATGGCTGAGAACAGAATAATTTCTTCGCGTTAGTTTTCATGGTGGAAGACACGAGTAATATCCCAAAAATTCAAGAGTGTCGGGGGCAGAGCTGAGTATGGTGACCAGCACCAAGAAGAAGGTGCTAGTAAAACTGATTGGCCTGAATGTGGACAAATCACCTGGACCAGATGGACTACACCCCAGAGTTCTAAAGGAGATAGCTGAAGAGATAGTGGAAGCATTAGTGGTGATCTTTCAGGAATCGCTAGAGTCAGGGAGGGTCCCAGAGGACTGGAAAATCGCTAACATGGCACCCATGTTTAAAAAGGG